GTGTTTAATTTAAAATTATTGACTTACTATGGTTTGAAGTTTAAAGAAATGGCGTATTATTTGTGAACACCCTGTGCTCAGCAACTCGATTTCTATATAAATTCCCAAAAGAACGTTACTTTTTATTTAAACGAAAAAGTTTTTAAGACAATATTTGTAAATAAATGAGCTACTAACTTGAGTAGTATGTCAAATTTTTGTTTTTTTTTTTTTAACTGGTTCACCTTTAATTCCATTTTACTAACGGCAACCTTATCATTCATTTTCTTGATCACTTCCGTATAAGTTGTCTCCACTGTTCTTATAAGGAGGGGCTCTTTCCCTTTGCACCTAACTATAAACCCCCATGTTACATCTTCTTTTTGCCTTGCGAATTTCAGGAGCTTTACTTACTGTACCTTTTTGATGTTGTTTTTCAAGACTTTACTTCCTTTATTTCTTTCCCCAATTGTTAAATGTTTTTTATTATTTTTGCTACCAGATTGTACTCCTCCGTACCGTCCTCTTTGTTTTCTTCTTCTAGTTTGGCTGCGAGTGTATACCAGGTCTTCTCAATTCTGGACGTTCGAAGCCTGTTTTCTATGAAGTCAATGTCCTCCCTTTATTATCTCGGCGAATTCTTCCCTCACTTTTTTATAACGTTTTTTAATCCCCCTTTTCTATTCCCTTATTTTGTTATCATAAGGCAGTCTAGCTTTTCTATTATATCTTGGAGGTCGGCCTGTTCCCACGTGGTATTTTGGTGTACCTCATCTTCCAATATTTCCTTAAAAATTCCTCTAAATGTATTTATATTTTCTCCCTTGTTGATTACATTTTTTATTTTTTTTTGTGTATGTGTCTACCCTTCCTTTTGATTTGAGGACATTCACTGGTTCCTTGAGTTTCCTGTTTATACCTTCATTTGGGGTTTTCTCTTTTTGTTTTTAATACTGTTTTCGCGTTTTTTTGTATTCTCTTGGCTTCAGAGCTTGCTCCCATCTTGTAACTGTACCCTTTACCATCCTGTCTGTTTTTCTTGTCTAGTAGGATTCAGGCCAATACACTATCATTTATGTTATCTTCCCACGCTATGTCAATGTAAGCATCAGGGGTTTTATTTCATCGCTATGTTGTTCCTCGCATTCCTTTCCAGATTTATCTAAAACTTGATTCCCTACTAGTGTTGACCGTCTATAATCTGCGTTGATCTATTTATTTTCCTATGATTTCTTTGCCTCTCTAACAGTTCCATCTCAAAACTTCTGTTATCCTCTGCTTCCCTGTTTCTATCTACTACGTTGTCTGGCAACTGTTTTCCCTAATCTCTTTGTTCTATTTTCAATTTGGTGATTGCCTTTTGTCTCCTTCCTGTTCCGTTTGACGTCTTGTTTTTTTTTTGATAATACATACAATTTTGACTTAGCGTCAAGTCGTGCTACTCCGGGAGGTCGCCAGATATCTCGGCGAGATCGTTTGTGGTACTCTAATATTCGCATGTTTATATTATTTGCACGATATCTTTAACCATGATAGTGGGGGATAAGAGGGGGTAAACATGTCGGCGACGCCCTCTACATATCTTTTGATAAATGGAATGAAAAAAGTGCAATTATTGATACAATCACTAATAACATCATCCATGACATAGCTACTTAGAATGGGTGAAAGACTAGATCCCATAGGGCTACCAAAAATTTGTTTATAAAAAACACCATTAAATATAAAAATATTAGAATCAAAAACAAAGTTGATAAGTGTTTTCAAATGTAACAAGTCAATATTAGTATATATCAACATCCTAATATTGACTTTTTATGTTTTTTATCTTTTTATGATGATCTAGTTTTGGCACTTCCTAAACACAAAATTCTTGAAACAGTCAATATTTTCAACAATCATAATCAACATATACAATTTACAGTTGAGGAAGAGGTAGATAATTCTCTACCATTCCTTGATATGAGAATTGTAAGAAATACAGACAATATGTTGAAAACCAGATGGTTCAGAAAATCCATATGTAGTAATAGATTTATAAGCTATTACTCTCATCATCCAAATAAGATGAAAATGAACCTTATAACAGGATTAAAGGAACGTGTTTTAAAACTTTCTCATCCAGACTATCTACAAGATCTTCATTTGTTAAAAAATATTTTAATTGAAAACTCTTATCCTCCAGATATGCTACATAGGATGCTTTTTTCTAATTTATTAAATATAAATAACAACACCATTTTTTGCTAAATCTCAAAACACTGTATCCAACAATTAGAACATATTATATTATCATTCACTATCTTTTATACCATCATTAACTCCTAAATTAATACAAACACTAAAGATTATTGACAATATAAAAATAGCAACAAAAAACATTAAAAGCATTTCATCTTTATATTCCAAAACTAAATATCCTATAGACAAATTAGATCAAACAAATAAAGTATACAGCATTGGTTGTACTTAGTGTGAAGCTGAGTATGTTGGTGAGACTGGAAGAAATCTCTCAAATCGCATTATTTCTTACAAAAGTGATTGCAGAATTAAGAAACCATCTTGTGCTTTGGCAGAACATGTAATAGCATACAAATCCAATAACAAAAACTATAACACTCTTTTTAGGGCAGTCATATAAAAAAAAACAGAATTGTCTTAACGTTTATAATGTAACACAACACTAAAGTAGATCTCACAAAAAATTACTAAATTTACTAGACAAAAAAATTAACAAATTTTTTTAACATAAAATCATTCTTCTTTTGTGCTAGCGCTTAGGATCTATCATATTCATTTTTTACAATCAGTCATGTTCGAATAGAATAGCTAACGATTAGAATAGTACCTAAAGAACTATAAAATATAAAATAGTCAGCAGGCTTAAGTTTTATTAATGGTCATAAAACATTTCAAAAATAAAACAAAGTATTAAAACTTACAATTAGAAAACAGTCACATTAACATATTACTATAGTAACAGGCATGATAAGGGCCAATAAGTCTCTTAGAAATTAATTCTTTTAAATCCTGTTTTTTATTTAAACTTAACTCAAATGGCGCACTATAAACTATTTTGATGGATATTTCTTCATTATCCAACATTTTCTTTCTTTTGTTTTTAACATTTATTTGTTTAAATGCGTCCTTGTATGATGTCTTATATTGAAAAGAGAATGGGTTCCCTTTCGCAAATTTCATAACTTTGATGTGATTCCATACGATGGTATTCTTCTCTTCGTCAATGTTAAAATTATATCCCCACTTGACTTGTAAATCTTGCAAGTCGTAAAAGAAATCATAATTCAAAGTATGAACGATAAAAGGTTTCTCCGTTTTCCTAGCTCTCTGAATTGCGGTGGTGTATTGAAGTGGTGTAAAGATTGGACCAGCTTTTAAATCTCTTGATATTTGTTTCTGTATCAGCAGATGTACATTGTCGGCTTGTGCCGACATTATTAGTTTGTGAGTTATGCCGAATTTGTGAGTTATGCCCTTTAAGTTTTTTATAGTAGTGACTGCAAATATGTATAAAGAAGCTATGTATTTATTTTTGTTTTGGCCACAACAATTATCTGTAACAAATGTTACGTTAATTTCATGTTCACCTGTATCCTCACAAACCTTCTTTAAGTCTAGAACGCAACTTCCAATCTCCACTGCACCTCTTTTTCCTTGAGTCTCATCCCAGAAATAGCAATGCACGTTACCATAGCTTTTAAAATCCTCTTCATTTTCTGGTAATTTATTTAGCACAGTCAAAGTAAAGTTGTAGCTATTTAATTTGGCTTTATAATAAAACGATGATGTTTCTCCATTGGGACTTTGCATTATTGCTTGAACATCGTAGCAAGCGCATAAATTATATTTATCAAGAGTCATTCTATCATTCTTTTTTTCTGCTCGGCTTAATTCCTTTTCTTCTAGGTGAGTATCATATTTGACTTTGAGAGCAAGCCTCTGATCAGCAGAAGAGTTTTTATACTGTAAACAAAGATCGCATTGATCTTTCTTGGGTTGAAAAAAACCCAAATTAAAATGGGTAGTAAAAATCTTATAAAACAAATGAAACTTTCCAGGATCTCGGGATAATTTCTTCTGTTTTTCTTGAAAGTCTCTAAACAAATCAGTAATACTTTTCGTTCTACTTATGAACATGAATGCGATTCAATTCGTGGTATTAGATTGATAAATCTAATGATATCATCTTTCAGATTGTCATCCACGCGTCTATGACTATTATGTTTGCCTCTTCTCTCTTCTTCAACAGAATTGCAATTGTTAGTCTTATATCTTACTGTGCAAATCATTTTACTTGTTATTCCCAACGTATTGATAAAAAATGTTTGGCAGACTCTGATTTTGGCATTATCAGCGTACAAGCAGAAAGCAGCATTTGGTGCTCAGGGATGTTGAGCGTTTGAATACTTATATTTAGTTTCAACTATAGCCATTCTTGTTTTTATAAACATACGCTGTAACTGCAAATCACCTAGTGCCCAAAAACATTTGAAATGTTGAAGTCTTTTATCCTCATCAAAATTTTCGCTGCATTTCAGTCTGCATTTCTGATTGCATGGACTCTTTCATGCGAAAACCTACGGCAATGGACGAACATGACCTCCATAGAACTATTCAAGGCTGCTACAAATAAGATTAAATGGGTAAATGTAATGGCCAACGTCCTTACGGATAAGGAACAACGTTTTTAGTCATAGTAGAAATGTATTGTTCTTCTGAATTTCGTTTTTTCTTTTGGTTATTTTGCTTCAAATTAGTAGGATCAGCTTTACGTTTCTTCGATCTCCTTGGCGATGTTGCAACTACTTCAGAAATACCATCATTGGAGCAACTTGAAGATGAGCTTGGCGAACGTTTTTTACCTTGATGTCATTATAAGTGGGATCATTGTCACTACCATCAGCATCACTCTCTTCTGAATTCATTGGCGATATACGGTAATGTACAGCTGGAGTTCGTGGTGTTAAAATTACGGATTGTAGTATTGAAGGTGAAGTAGTTCAAGATGATAAAGACTGAGACTGGGCTTCGAGTATTGAAGGTGAAGTAGTTCTAGATGATAAAGACTGAGACTGGGCTTCAATTTCTTTACCTTTTAGGATATGGGAAACAAATCGTCCTTGTTTCAATGAACAACATCGAGACGAAGAGCTGCTGCTAGAAGATGACGAACTGGAACTACTAGATGACAATCTCGACGAACGTTTTGATGTTGTTGCAGTAACAGTGTTAGTCTCAACCAAAGAATTATTTTGTAATGGCAGAGTATTATCGGCTGTTTCCTGTTGCTTTAAAACGCTTTCTAATGAACTTAAAGGGATGTTCTCTTTTTCTTCATTGCTGACCTAAAAATACAAAATAATATGAAGTAGTTTATATATGTTAGTAAATTATAAACTTACGTTTGGGTCCTTATCGCAACTGTTTTGCCATTGATTAGGTGGATGTGAAACATTAAGAAGGTTCATAATTCTTCGCATTCGTAATGATATATTTCTTCAATTTTTTTGCAATGTATCTGTACGAGGTTAAGATATAGTTACCATCTTCTTTAATACTTGTTAGTACATAAAATAATAATAATAATTAAGGCCTTAGTACAGAAAAACTTTATGGTTCCAAAAACCATACAATAATTTTAGTAATATAAAGAACTTTCTTTAAATAAACCCATAAATTTTCGGAAATTTTAGTAATATACAGCATTTATTAAATGGCCAACTATATGGCCTAGGAGACAAATTCGTTAAACTTCCCGTGCTCGAATTGGTATCACTAAAGTGTTATGATCATTTCGGCCTATCCCAGCCATCGTCAGACACTTGGGCTGATACAAATTCAAACTCGGAAAGTAAAACGAATGTCTCCCAATCTTCACTACCGTGTAGTTAGCTTATAAAGGCGCCCTCTATTTTGAAGGCCGTGAACGAAACGATATGAATAATCGTTTTCTGTATCCTTTATGCTATGCGAAATGTGTAAAGAATCAAATCTTTTAGCGAAAGCCGCTATCGCTGTATGTATTAAATGGCCAACTATATGGCCTAGGAGACAAATTCGTTAAACTTCCCGTGCTCGAATTGGTATCACTAAAGTGTTATGATCATTTCGGCCTATCCCAGCCATCGTCAGACACTTGGGCTGATACAAATTCAAACTCGGAAAGTAAAACGAATGTCTCCCAATCTTCACTACCGTGTAGTTAGCTTATAAAGGCGCCCTCTATTTTGAAGGCCGTGAACGAAACGATATGAATAATCGTTTTCTGTATCCTTTATGCTATGCGAAATGTGTAAAGAATCAAATCTTTTAGCGAAAGCCGCTATCGCTGTATGTATTAAATGGCCAACTATATGGCCTAGGAGACAAATTCGTTAAACTTCCCGTGCTCGAATTGGTATCACTAAAGTGTTATGATCATTTCGGCCTATCCCAGCCATCGTCAGACACTTGGGCTGATACAAATTCAAACTCGGAAAGTAAAACGAATGTCTCCCAATCTTCACTACCGTGTAGTTAGCTTATAAAGGCGCCCTCTATTTTGAAGGCCGTGAACGAAACGATATGAATAATCGTTTTCTGTATCCTTTATGCTATGCGAAATGTGTAAAGAATCAAATCTTTTAGCGAAAGCCGCTATCGCTGTATGTATTAAATGGCCAACTATATGGCCTAGGAGACAAATTCGTTAAACTTCCCGTGCTCGAATTGGTATCACTAAAGTGTTATGATCATTTCGGCCTATCCCAGCCATCGTCAGACACTTGGGCTGATACAAATTCAAACTCGGAAAGTAAAACGAATGTCTCCCAATCTTCACTACCGTGTAGTTAGCTTATAAAGGCGCCCTCTATTTTGAAGGCCGTGAACGAAACGATATGAATAATCGTTTTCTGTATCCTTTATGCTATGCGAAATGTGTAAAGAATCAAATCTTTTAGCGAAAGCGCTATCGCTGTATGTATTAAATGGCCAACTATATTTGTCTCCTAGGCCATATAGTTGGCCATTTAATACATACAGCGATAGCGGCTTTCGCTAAAAGATTTGATTCTTTACACATTTCGCATAGCATAAAGGATACAGAAAACGATTATTCATATCGTTTCGTTCACGGCCTTCAAAATAGAGGGCGCCTTTATAAGCTAACTACACGGTAGTGAAGATTGGGAGACATTCGTTTTACTTTCCGAGTTTGAATTTGTATCAGCCCAAGTGTCTGACGATGGCTGGGATAGGCCGAAATGATCATAACACTTTAGTGATACCAATTCGAGCACGGGAAGTTTAACGAATTTGTCTCCTAGGCCATATAGTTGGCCATTTAATACATACAGCGATAGCGGCTTTCGCTAAAAGATTTGATTCTTTACACATTTCGCATAGCATAAAGGATACAGAAAACGATTATTCATATCGTTTCGTTCACGGCCTTCAAAATAGAGGGCGCCTTTATAAGCTAACTACACGGTAGTGAAGATTGGGAGACATTCGTTTTACTTTCCGAGTTTGAATTTGTATCAGCCCAAGTGTCTGACGATGGCTGGGATAGGCCGAAATGATCATAACACTTTAGTGATACCAATTCGAGCACGGGAAGTTTAACGAATTTGTCTCCTAGGCCATATAGTTGGCCATTTAATACATACAGCGATAGCGGCTTTCGCTAAAAGATTTGATTCTTTACACATTTCGCATAGCATAAAGGATACAGAAAACGATTATTCATATCGTTTCGTTCACGGCCTTCAAAATAGAGGGCGCCTTTATAAGCTAACTACACGGTAGTGAAGATTGGGAGACATTCGTTTTACTTTCCGAGTTTGAATTTGTATCAGCCCAAGTGTCTGACGATGGCTGGGATAGGCCGAAATGATCATAACACTTTAGTGATACCAATTCGAGCACGGGAAGTTTAACGAATTTGTCTCCTAGGCCATATAGTTGGCCATTTAATACATACAGCGATAGCGGCTTTCGCTAAAAGATTTGATTCTTTACACAATATACAGCATTTAATCTTAATGCGTCTTTATAAAACAAACAATATAAAACAACAAGTACCTCAAGTTTTGTAATAGAAGGGCTTAACTCGTAATGGGAGCGCTTACTAACACACCTGCTTCGACAGACATCGGCACCTTACTGACATATATTATATTGTTATGCTATGTAAAATCGAAAATAATATTGGTTTGCTTAATATATTTCAAAGTACAAAATATAATAATTCAAATAATTCAATTAATAACCTACAAAAGATATTTCGAAGAAATGAAAGTCCATTATCCTGGAATACCTGTAGTAAATATAATTTTAAAAATATGTATCAATTATTATTTTCTTTGTAAAGTGACGTGAGTGAGCTTAAGTGAAATCATAAACAATGCAAGCGGGTTTTCCAAATGGACTTGTACAGTGAATCAGACAATAGAGTAAATATTAGGGAAACATATTTCTTCGTTAGTTCTTAAGAATTTGTAGAAACTAATTAGCATGTTAATAGTTTTTAGGAAATTTATAATTGTAGGTAAAATTGTTATTTTGTTATCTAAATGAAGAGATAGGGATACGTATGACGAGCTTTGATTAGAGGAGATTGAAAAAAGTGGGATGGTTTGTAAGAATGAGAGTTTAACTAGATTTTTGAGAAAGAAAAGATAATCAGTTGGTTTCCAAGGGTAGAAGGCGAACAGTCGTTGTTCTCTGGAGGTTCCCCAGAGGTAGTAAACAGTAGAAGTGAATGATAGGTAAGGTAGACCTTACCTATCATATGTAAAGCATAGATACTGAAGCACGAATATAACCTTGAGATAAGAGAATTAAATTGTGTGATAGAATTATAATTGCATCATTTCAAATTTAATTAATTAATTAATTAGCTAATTAATTGCGTGCCGCACCTCAGACTTTTAATATCACATTAATATATATATATATATATATATATATATATATATATATATATATATATATATATATATATATATATATATATATTTATATATTTGAAGGACATTTTCTGTGACCCATAAAGTAGGCCAGACCGTTTAACTATATGGACAATGTCAAGAATTTTTACCATGTTATGTCATGTTATATCCGTAGTGACTATCGCATACAAACGTATCATAATTTTGTTTCGTCGGGTTTTATTCATATCGTCGAATCAAATTAAAATAAAATGTTTTTTAATTGATAACGTACACACACATGCTAAACGATTTTGTATCATACATACCAATTAGACAAATAAACCGGTTTCTTAAAGAAAAAATAGTGCCACTATAAAACACTTTATTATTTGTCGGTACATGAATAATTTTTTTAAATTATGCAATATTTACTTTACTATTATTAAATTGGGGATTATATTAATCTGGGGATTGCTCATAGTCTTATTTTTGGCATAAGCTGAAATTTCATGATTGATTATGAATCTCACATGATTTGTTCTGTTTAGTCTATTGGCATTTAATGAGCTGTTAAAGAGTACGTAAGTAAACCACCACGTCATCTGACTTAAAGAGATGTCCTATTCCACTTGTTCCATTTTCTGGTAAAATTTTGGATCTACCTAATAAGAACATCGCATATAGCCATTAGAGCAATTTTAGGAATTTCACTGCCAAATAATTTAAAACAAAGAAATCAGAAACGGAGCAAAAATAACAGTGGTAACAAAGGATACTACAGCAAAGAACATAGAACTAGAACACTGTTTTTAATATCTACAGAAGAAGTCTAGTGAATGGGTACCATATATTTTTGGAGTTACTTGGTAGTCTCCAAAATGTGTTTGCCGCCTGCAATCTAATGCCTTGCAATCGTTCCAGGTAAGGGTGGTATTTTCTACAAAGTGTGCAGTTTGTCTTCATGCAATAGCACTATTGTATATAGGTATCCCTTGACGGTTGCATGTCCAGTAGGGAAGCCTATTACGACTTTCAGTTGGTTCGTGCTTGTTTTCCGTAGTACTTTAGCCCTATTATCACATATCTGTCCAATATATATTTTGCCATGTTTTTGATTAGATATAATTTTTGTCAGTGAGAGTTATGTGACCTATGAATCCACATCTTTAGAACAATGCTTTTTACTCTTTTAAAGCCGTCTCTGCACCGAAGTATTTTTTGGCTTATGCTATTCTGGCAAGTGCATCAGATCTTTGATTGTCGTGTATTCTCACGTGACCTGAAACCTAAAGTGAAACTAGACTATGAAATAGTGAATCTAGACCAGTGAATCACTGTTATGTTCAATCAGTCTGTCGACTTTTTCTGCATAAGTATGTAAAAGTCTTTATTCCTATTGATAAAGTCAATATATTACATTAGTTAGTAGCTTAATCTTATCTTTATTGCATTTGATCTTTGCAAGATCGTGACTAGCTCATGTTTAATGGTAATGACGAAAATTCGATCTTCCTAAAGGAAAAAAGTTCCTACTTCTGTCATTCATTAATTCGAAGAAACCGCGT